TTGAAGATCAAGTCATACATAATTTTGCTCCATTCATTTCATTTTTATTAGATTTTATGGATAATAGAGTATTGGATTTCAAAAAAACTGAAAACAAAACACAGTATATTAGGATTCTACTGGATTTCAAGATGAAAGAGAAATTTAATTTAATGTATAATACATTTTAAAGATTTTTATATTTTAAAAGAAATAAAAAATAAAATTCTACATGATCACTTGTGTGATTTTCGATTACTTCAAAAGAATTTGGAAATAAAATAGAGTTTACAACAAGATAAATGATGAATCGAAAGTAATAACTTTTGAATTTACTGGTATTTTTAAAAAAAGTTAAAAAAAGTTGTTTTCACAGTACATGGAGGCTTAAAAAATGATTTCAATTGCTTTTTTATTTTAAATGAAACAAGAAAAGAAAGAATCAGTTTTTTCTTAGCATAATCAAATTTAAACATTAATAGAACAAGACTGCGTTCTCGTTAAATACTAAGAAAACACACTCTTTCCCTTAAAATCCAATAAGTTACATATGCATTTCTTGAAAACTGTTTGTTCTGAAAGAAAGTAATACATTTTTCTTTTTCAATTTTTTCAAAAGTACTTAATGCATTCGAAATTCATTGCCTTTGATTTTTCATTTGCCTTGTTGTAGACTGTATTTAATTTTTCACTCATTTTTGAAGTAATAGAAAAATACACAATTAATTAAAAGAAGTAGAATTTCATCTTTCATTTCACTTGAAATATGAAAGTCTTTGAAAGTTACTATAATTTCAATTTCATTTTCATCTTGAAGTTTGACAGAATAAAGAAACATTACGTTTCATTTTTAGGTTACTTTAGATCCAACAGTGAATGTAACACATTACATTCAGTACTTTATTATCCATAAAATCTAATAAAAAATTGAAGTGCTTAAATCTAACTGAACTTGGAGTAGTACTCTAAGTTTTTTACGTATTTTCATTTTGAGGATCAAATCATACGTAGTTTTGCTTAATCCATGAAGTCTAATAAAAAATTTAAATGTTTAAATTTGATTGAACTTGAAGTAGTATGTCGAGCTGTCTACATACTTTCTTTTTGAAGATCAAGTCATAAGTAGTTATGTTCAATCAATGAATTCTAATAAAAATTTGAAATACCTACATATTTCAATAGAAATTAAAGATGAAACTCTACTTCTTTTGTTCACTTGTATAATTTTCGATTACTCAAGAGAGATTAGAAAATGAAATGAAGTCTACAGCAATGCAAATGAAGAATTGAAGAAAAAGACTTATGAATTTATCGGGTATTTTTTGAAAAATTGAAAAAGTTTCTTTCATAATACAAACAGACTTCAAGAATGGTTTTTGTTACTTTCTTAGCACGATCAAGTTTAAAAATCGACAAAACAAGACTCATTACCGTCAAATGTCAAGAAAACGTTGATTCTTTCTCTTCAGAATCTAAAGAGCCACATATGTCATTCTTTAAGTCTGCTTGGGTTAAAACAAAGCAATTCAATTTTCTCTTTCTTTTTAAAAAATACTCTGTACATTCAAAAGTCATTACCTTAAATTCTTCATTTACTTTAATGTGAACTCCATTCATTTCTCATTCTCATTTGAAATAATTAAAAATTACATGAGTGATCAAAAGTATCATTTCCTTTGAAATATGAAAATCTTTAAAAGCTACTATATTTTTAATTTCTCTTTCATCTTGAAATCCTAAAAAATTGAGCTTCAGATTCAGTTTATTTGCAATCCAATAGTGATTGAAATATATTATATTCAATATTTTATTATCCATAAATTCTAATAAAAATTTAAAATATTTAAAATTGACTAGACTTGGAGTAATACTCCAAGCTACCTATGTAGCTTCTTTTTGAGGATCACGTCATATATAATTTTGCTCAACCCGTGAACTCTAATAAAAAATGGAGTACTTAAATTTGACTGAAATTTGAGTAGTACGTCAAACTGCCTATGTACTTTCTTTTTGAGAATTAAGTAACATGTAGTTCTACTTCATCTATTTTTTTATCAGACTTCATAGATAATAAAGTATTAGATTTCAAGAAAACTGAAAAAAGAAACTAAAGTGTTTTTTGACTTCATTGAATTTTGAGATGATGCGAAATTAAAGATATAATATCTTTGAAGAGTTATATATTTCAAGAAAAATGAAATATGAAACTGTACTTTTTTTATTCAGTTGTGTAATTTTTGATTGCTTTAAGAGAGATTGGGAAATAAAATTAAGTGTATAGCAATGTAATTGAAGAATCTAAGACAATAATTTTTGAATCTACCGAGTATTTTTTGAAAAAGTTGAAAAAATTACATTACTTTTGGAGTTTTGAATGCAATAAGAAAATAACGAATCAACTCTTTCTTTGCACGATAAAGTTTAAAAATCGATAGAATAATACTACGTTACCGTCAAATGCTAATAAAATGCTTATTCTTTCCCTTCAAATTCTAAAAAATCACATACGCAATTTCTTGAAGGTTGCTTATGTTGAAACAAATCAATGCAATTTTCTTTTTCAAGTTTCTCAAAAATACCCAATACATTCAAAAGTTGTTGCATTCAATTCTTCATTTGCTTTGTTGTACACTCTATTCATTCTCCAATCTCTTTTAAAGTAATCGAAAATTACACACGTAATCAAGAATGTTAAATTTAATCTTTCATTTCTCTTGAAATATGGAGGTCTTTAAAAGCTATTATATTTTCAGTTTCTCTTTCATCTTGAAATCTAACCGAATCGGAAAGAACTATGTTTCATATTTGATTTACTTGAAATCCAATAGTGATTAGAAGACATTACAATTAGCAGCGGGTATAGTAAGCAAAATTTTACGAAAAGAAAAGGGGGGATACGAAATAACCATAGTGGATGCATCGGATGGACGTCAAGTGGTTGATATTACCCCCCCAAGACCAAAACTTCTTGTTTCCGAGGGCGAATCCATCAAACTCGATCAATCATTAACAAATAATCCTAATGTGAGTGGATTTGGTCAGGGGGATGTAAAAATAGTACTTCAAGATCCATCACGTGTCCAAGACCTTTTGTTCTTTTTGGCATCCGATGTTTTGGCACAAATCTTTTTGTTTCTTAAAAAAAAACAATTTGAGAATGTTCATTTGTCCAAAATGAATTTCTAGATCCGTGGATTTATCAATATCAAATTCGTAAAAAAGAAGCAAATTCTTGTTGGCAATTAGGTATGATCAAAAAATTTATGAAAAACCTTTTGCCTGTTTATATATTTTTTTTTTCTACCAGAATCTTTTATTATCTATAAAGTCTAATAAAAATTTAAAATGCTTAAATTTGACTGAACTTATATTAGTACTCTAACCTGCCTGTATACTTTCTTTTTGAAGATCAAGTGATACACAATTCTTCTCAAACAAATTCCAATAAAAAATTGAAATGATTAAATTTGACTGAACTTGGTGTAGTACGACGAGCTACCTATAAACTTTCTTTTTGAAGATCAAGTCATATATAGTTCTCCTCTATCCATTTCGTTTTTTATAACATTTTGATAAAGTAGTAAATTTCTTAAGCACATATAAGTAAAGCAAAGTTTGATAGTTCGAGAGATAAAGGAACAAGAATTAATATTGGGAGCTAAAAAAATGGAAGAGTTAGAGAGATAATGGCTGAAGAGAAAACTAGGAATGATAATTCACTTAAGTTAGCCCAGATCATAACCTTCAATACCATAAAGACGAGTTAGTCGAGCCACTCCTAATCCAAAATCTATCTTCGAACATTGAAGTTAAAAATTTATTAGGATAGGATAGGGTCGAAAAATCCCTAACCAAGATTTAATAAGATCTGTATTGAATTAGTTTATTAAGTTTTTTGCCTCTAAATGCATCACTTACTCTTAAGGGTACATAGATTATGAAGTATATGATTAGTAAATGCATCAATTAATAACTATGAACGGAAAACTAAGTCAAAGAATCAAATCATAGAATATATATATGTAATAAGTGTCACAGGATTTACAACACGCAAATAACAAATGTAGGGAATTAACAAAAGAACATAAAGTTGAATCTTCACATCTTATTGGCAATAATTCCTTTACTCATCTCTATCTCTTGACCTGCTTAAAAGAGATCATACTAATATGTAGTAAGTTCTTTT